AAGGTATTTGGCCCAGTAGGAGGAGAAGATTCTTGAAATAGTTTACGACGACGACGACAGACGACGAATGACGACGGACGCCAAGTGATGGCATAAGCTCATTTGGCCCTCAAAGGGCCAGGTGAGCTTAACAAAGGGTGACGAATTCCTTTAGAAAATTAAAGCTTTGAATCAAAATATAATAATAAAATAAATAATTAATGTAATGCGGCTTTTTATTTTAAAGATTGTTTCAGAAATTGGATTTCCATATATTTACAGTATATAAGAACGAGACAGGGAGAGGTTATTAACGAATGTGACATCACAAGATGAGACTTAGCTCCGAATTCGCACTATAACATATTAAGTAACAAGATGGAATTTACATTTGGAGTATGATCTGCCTACGCTTTCGGAGCACCTGATATCATCCGCGGACGGGTTTTGGTGGGTTTCGTGTTAATTGCTCAGTCTTTGGTTTTTTTATGTAGTGTTATGTAGACTGCGAGGTTTTTTTTATTTTTTTTTGTTGTTGTTGTCGATTTTCATGTTTTGCCATGGCGTCGTCAGTTTGTCTTCGACTTATGAATTTGAATGTCCATTTGATATCTTCTTCCTCACTTTTGTTAACAATAATCTTTAAAGCTTATACAACGCAAGTAATTGCAGAGCAAACACAGACTTTGTTACTTTATTCACAACTTTGGAGACTCAGTTGATTTAAATATTGGCCAATTTTATGGATACCTGCCTTTAGTTTAAACTTGCATGTTAACCTCTTCGTGGTTTTTTTTCGTGTCGTTATGTTGCTTTATATTTTGATATATATTCCGCTTCTTCCTTTTATTCCTATTCAAATGTTTTGGTATAGTAAGAGACCATATTTAATACAGAGAAAGGTTTTTTTTAACCAGCTATTTCATAGTCATTTGCCTGTTATTTTCTGGTGAAGTAACCAATAATATGTAAATTGCCTATTTGTTTTCGTCGAACACATTGACGCTGTAATAAGCAGGGTTTTTCAGATTTGATTCTAAAAGACGCCGGGTATCAATATTTGAATATAAAACCTACTAGTATATTAGATTTATAGTACCCTTGAGGTATTGATACTATCTTTAATGGACTGACATGAGTTTGGCAACTTCATTTAAGAGTGTAATTGACAATTTTAAATCTTGTAAAATTAAAAGTTTAAAACCATTCAGCAAGGTCAAACGATCAATTAAAAGTTAATAAACACAAGGGTATTAAAATAATCTTCCTTAAGTAAGTTACAGTCCTTAAATAGGTTGAAACCTGGAATTTTAAAGCTCGTTTCAAAATATTTATGTATTTATTTAATCAATTCTAAAATCGCAGTTCAGTTTTATTAAATCTCATTGACATGGCCATTGTATGGTCAGAATTTGATCGTCACCATCATAGGATTATAAAGTATATATATAAGATATTGGCACAGTTACCTATGATTACCTGGATAGCCTATCTCTCTCTGTAATCATGGGACCACCAGGTAAGAGATGTTTTTCTGATTTTGAAATTAAAACAAATTAATCCTTACAAAAAAAAAAACAGGAAGACAAAAATTATAAAAAAAGGTTTTACTTTGATACAAAAAATTACCGTATACTCTAATTAAATGATTTAAATAGTATATAAGCGCAGCTGGCTCTATATTTACGTTCTAACGTTATCGCTATATTGTAACGGGGAAAGAAACAATCTATTTGAAATTCAAAACAAATTTGAATGAGAAACAAACAATAAAGAGAAATAGTTCTTTAATTGTTAACTTTGTATACAAACTTTTTCGTGGTACCCGTACAGAAAATTTAACGACAAGCTTGCGTTTAATTTTAATAACAAAGAATGTAAAATTTGCGTAATTGAAATTCAATCAAATTGTTAAAGCCTGCAACAGCTAACTCCATGACGATTAAATTAATCATCTCTAAACCATACAATGAAAAAATAAGAACTTGACGTATCAATGCAGATCACGGTGTTGTTATTTTCAAGCGAAGTTATAACAACGTTACCTGATTTCAGCAAACATTAATGAATAATGGTCGCACAATCGCGCAGTGGCAGGAATTTTCAATTTGATTCTACTGAAGTAGGATATAGTTTCTTTGTGTTTAAAAGAAAGGAATAAAAAAACACTGAACAAATAGCACCAAACCATTTTAAATGTTAACATTGCAGTAATTATTCATGTGCAGTGCAGCCTAATGAGATGAATACATTAGTGCTTGTTTGATCAGAAGGCAGATTGGAACTCTAATTTATTTTGATATATCAGAAAACTACTTCACAATCTAAATGTAAATTCATAGTTTATTCCTGTATGTCACGAATATGGACTTTAACTGAGAATCTAAAAAATCCAATAAAATTCATTAAGTCGATAAACCGGCCAATGTACGAGATGGTAATCATCGGGAAAATTTATACCCAAGTATATATTGATAAGATTTGATACTAATCTAATTATAAACAATAATACAAGATGATCAATGATTTAATGATTACACTGTACAGAAATTTGCATATGTAACGAAATTACAACGAGTTCATGACGCACATTATCTTGTTTTAAATGTGGACCTTGTTCATACCAGGAAGCTATTGAAAATGAAAGGGAATAGTTTGAATATTTTACTCGTACAAAGATTTGTTGTTTTCTCGTGCTCCCTGTTATGATTTTTTTCTACAAAGACACGTTGTTCTCTATTTATTTATATTTATTTTGGCACTTTTGATTTATTTGGGTTTGGTTTGATATTATTTTTATTAGTTTATTTTTGTTTGTACAGTTTTTATTAATGCAATTCAGCATCAATAATGTATATGTTAGAGTAAGTAATTAATAGTTTTCAATCTTCGTTGATGAAGTTGACTTAAAAGAACTATATTTACCAATTTAGGGGACCGATGCTGTTTTGGTGTGAGGGAGGTATAAGTACGCATTGACATTTTCTAAATATAAGAACCGTATTTGATTATCCCTGGTTCTCTAGACGCGCCAGAACGCTTCCACATATTCTTGCTTTGGGTTGTTCGTATGGTTGTGCAGAATGTGCTGCTTTAAAGCTACATCCGTTCGGTTGTTTGTCGTGCCTAAATGGACAGCCATTTCATGACGTTGACTACAATAGGCATACTTGATTGAAGCGGAAGCAAGCGAGAGAATTCGGTCCGCCGTAAAAACGGATTCAACCTCCAGTTTTCTTTTGAAAATGCCTGTACCAAATCATGACTGTGACAGTAAATCACCTGTTGTTCCCACGAGAATCTTTTGAAGATATGTCCCCCTTTCTAAACATGATGTATTCTTTATGTGCCTGTCCCAAGCCAAGAGTTTGTAATTCAATGGTTGTCGATGGTTGCTGTCTGTCATATTTGATTTACTTGTTTGAATTGTTTTACATTTTGTTATGTCGAGGCCTTATAGTTGACTATACGGTATGGATTTTGCTCATCGTTGCAAGGCCGTACGATGACCTACAATTATTTACAGCTTCTTCCTTTGGTCTCTGGTGAATAGTTGTCTCATTGGAAATAATCATTCCACATCTTTTTATTTTTTGTATGGACATTGATTGGATATACCTTTAAGTTCGCCATGATGTCTTATGCCCTATTCTAAACATCTACAATAACTTAGCTATTTTCAAATCAACATGTGGCCTTTCGTGATATTAAATCAAAACATGGATTTGTTATTTTTAAGTTTTAAATTTGAAAGTACATATACCTACAATTTACTAATACACAGCAGATAAATATGATATATGACGTCACATAAATACGTAAACTTTGAACAGTTTCCAAAACTAATTTTGTTTTTGCGGATAAAGCCGTTTGAAGCGTTCATTAAACTCTTCCAAATCCTGATAAAATCTATTGATGAAACGATCCATGATCGTGAGTTTGACCGAAATTAAATAGAAGCATTGTTAAGTCGTAGTTTTACGTACACTAGTATCGGTGTTTTTGTTGACTTTGCAGATATCAGTTTTTCAATGTATTGATTTTAACTTTCTACCCATAAAGGTATGGTTAAATGAAGTACTTGGGGAAATATTAAATAATTTGAACACCACTGACTCATGGCAACAATGTCCACTTAGCTCAATATCACGATTATGGTAAATATTAGCTTAGTATGTAACAAGCTAGAAAATGTTAATACTTTTGAAGTGCTGTTACATATAAGCTGATACATGTATACAAGGTTCAATCGAGTATACCATTTAAATGCGATGCACCAACACTGTCTTATTTTGTTTTTTTTACACATGTGCTACTTCACGTTATTTTTCTATTTTTATCACTTAAAACATGCAAAATCTGCATTTAGTTTTATATTTACCGTTATTCTGAAAAGTGATAATTCTATTTAAACCTATCCAAGTGTTTTAATGGTGATACTTTACTCAAAATAGTAACCTGCTTTCATACAATATGAAAGTTTGTAACGACACTACGTGGCAAATGTGCAAGCCAATGGTAAATCATTTTATGAAAAAGGACACGCTAGACCTTGGATTAATCAGGATAAGCATATAGTCTAGGTTGAACTCAAATTTGGAGTTTTTTTTTACATTTGATATACTATGTAATAAAAAAAGTTTAACATTGCCAATGCTTAATTGGATTCTGTATATATATTCAACAAAGATTAAGTCTGTCGTCCCTTTTGTTTTTGAACAAATTTATTCGCCATGTAATACAGTTGTTCTATACTCGTCCAGATTCTTCGATGTACTGAGAAAAAATTAAGGCTATAAAGTTCAAATCGTAATTACATAAATGGCATATGTTATTGATACATTAATTTGTAAACTAAAATAATTAGCATTACCAGCATATTTTTGTTCAAGGTCTTGTCTCTACGTGTAGTAAACTTAAAGCTTTCTTTGGACAGTGAAATGAAAATTGGCGATGGAATGACGTAAAAGTTGACGGATGGTTGATTCAAATCTATTTTTTATATTACTTTCCCAATCATTTTTCCATATCATGCCTCCATGGTGTTTTAGCTACGTTATACTGAAGATCAATAGCCCGTTTTAGACTGAACTTCTATTTACAGGTGCAAATTAGTTTCATTGTGCGATCACACCTTTATTGAATGACACGAAAGTCAGATTCAGAATCAAAAACAGATTCTTAAATTTGTGAGCTATCCATAATTGTGATAAAACTATTGGGTATCGGAACGTTTAGACGTATAATGGATAAATCTATTTCGTTACGTCTTAAATATTTCATGAGTAAAAAGTTTCATCTTACAAGAAGAATTGCATCTCTATCTTCAAATTGGAATTGAATTAATGTTTATGATACGATAGTTTATCCTTTTAAATGTTCATATAGAACATGATCGATCAATGTGTACATTGTACCATGACAACCGGGGTTTGACAAAGACGATTTAAAGAGTTATTTATACAATACCTAGCGTGGCCTTTAACATGGAATTAAAGTATGGAATCACACGTTGTTGTGTTAAGTGTAGTTTGTTCTAAACTTCTGATATATTAAAATAACAATTTTTCATGACTGTTGTTTTCAAAATTTTGCACGAGGTGAGTTTTTTACAATATATTTAAACGTTTAATGTGACCCTTTAGAAGCAAAGCAAGAACATTTACAAGGAGTTCCATTAAGTAATTACACATTCTGCAAAACGTATTCATTGTGAAGCTTTCAAATACTTCGTTATTTTCATAGCTGTTTTACATTTTATACACGCACAATTTTATATGGATATTTAAACAATTCATATGGCTTTTATACTTATATATATATATATTCAAAAATGACATAAGAATTTATTATTCATTATTTAAATTCATTTACCATGCGCTATGTTCCATTCAATGCACTTTTAAATTAAACATAATACGTCTTTTTGAAAATTGACGAAAATGATATAAAAAACATGCATGGTACATCAGTTTTCAATACAGCCTTGTCACGTGCAAATTAGTTTGTATATACAAATAATTCAGTAATTGCTACAATTATATAACTCAACAAGAAAAAAAAATCGAAAGTTTAAACAAAATGTAAGATTTTCTTTTTCATTGTTATATATTTATGAAAAGATGGATTGTGTTTGGTAATTTGAAACGCATGATCTTTAAAATTCCAATTCTTTATTTTTGTCTTTTGTTTGGCATTTTAATTAAGTCTTGACACGGAATTACAGTGTATATCATAAAGTAAACAGTTCATTGGTCTATTTACAGGTTTCAACCATGTAGATCATGGCCTCATCGAATGCTACCATTGTTAGTAACGACAGCGAGCCAGAACCACCCAGAAATTCTTCAGATATAGTATTGTCTCGAATCAATTTAAGTTTTCACGAATCAAAAGCAGATCAGATACTAAGACTTGTTAAGGACCAAGAGGAATTAAATAAAAAGTTTTCCGAACGCGCCTTACATCGCCAAGAAGATAACTGTGCGGACGGTGACAATAGCTTAAGTGATAGCTCGTTTAAAGAAACCGAAAAGAGGCTATCACAACGTCTTTCTGTGCACAAACAAAAAGGTGGTAGATCTAAAACTTCTATGGGATTTCATAATGACAAAAATATAATTAATAATTCATCATCAGACGAAGAAGAATCAAAAATGGCTGACGAAGAACGAATGATTAATACCAGGATTAATCGTCCAAAATCTAGCTACGTCCGACGCCGCCATCTACCGGCGGATGATGAAGATGATAGTCACGTTGACTCTACTGCACAAAGACGCTGTCGGTCTACAAGACCAACTTCTAGACTAGGAAAACGAGATGTTGAAGGTACATATCGTGAGTGTCCTAGTCGACATGAAGGCGAAAATAGAAAAATGGTGCTAACAGAGACATCATTCAATGTCCAGGCTCCACCAGCCACGCCTACTAATGAAATTGTTGACCCTGTAGGATACGATAGGTATGCTCACATTAAGACACCAGTACCAAGTGTTGAAACGGGTATAAGACGTGAACGAACTGGTATAAGACGTGAACGAACTGATATACGTAGCGTAAATAAAAACTCTGAAAATGCCAATACAACAAACACAAGCTTCAGTAAAGCACAATATGAAAAGCATACAAGGAATCGTCAAAGAGAAGATACAATGTCTGAAATTTCTACCAGACAACGACATCGCAGGCAGCAATATGGTAATGTTCGAGCTAGTCGACCTACTTCTGAAAATGTGTATCTTGTTCGTCAAAGAACGGAAGCAAGGTTACTAAAAAACGGAAATTCTACTTCAAATATGAACAATAGACCGAAGTCAGATAGAGTCATTATGACTTCAAATGGACCTAAGCCTATACTGTCAATTGACCATAATCCAGTCAATAGTACGACATTAGGTTACCAGAAAAATAGTGTTCAGTCGTCACAAAATACAACATTGGACTATAAATCATCCACACGACCTATGTCTCGACGTGGAAGATCGTCTCAGGAAGTAGCAAATCGGCCTCCAGGGGTAATTGCAAATAGACCTCCATTAAGTCTTATGAAACTACCGCCTCTTGATTCCTCTGTTAGTAAACGTACTGAGAGGACACTTGCTTTAACGAATGCACGTGAAACGTGTGTGTAATGTAACTACATAGTTGTTATGTTTACTTTTGTGCATTTTACGTTGCCATTTATGCTACAATTTTGTGCCTAATGTAACAAGGAATTTTATAAATTCCTTATTATGACGTAAGTAATTGAGAAAAATGCACATGCAATAAATAAATTGTATGTGCAAATTGAAATGTTAATAAAAATCATAAAATAAAGTATTTTATAAGTGTATATATTATATTTGGGGTATGCTCAAATTAATCATCGACCAAAATATGAATGAAATATTTTCCACTAAGCGTTAAGCAAACATAAGTCAATCAGATTCATCAGGTGTAGATATACACATGTAAATATTTTGCTCACGGTTTGCAAGTTTACTTGAATCACTATATCAATAAATTTGAACATGTATATACCTGGATTTACCTCAAGGAGGACCGCTCAGAGCGCCCAATTAACAATCAAACGATAAATTACACACACACACACACACACACACACACACACAAAGAACTATCCTAACCATTCGACATAAAAGTTCCGCGAAAAGGTATAGAAAACAGACGAAAATTTCTCTTAGTATCAATCACTAATAATTGCCCACCAACAGGTCTCTAAACTAGAAAACTTGACTTTATGGTCATGTCTCTAGAATTTTGTAGACTGACTTATTTACGCCATTGTGCTGTCAGTTTGGACAAGAGCTGTTTTGAAGACCAGTAAACAACTACTGACTTGTGAATGAGCATGCGTACAGCTATTATTTTATTTCAACGGATACTGAAAATTAAAAAAATTTGTTGTTTGTACAAATTTAAATCAAGTTGACAGTTTTAAAATTTTGTTATCGCACGAAAGATTATAACTGAATATAACAGGTATTTGTTACTATGTGTTATAAATCAAAAGTTCACATCTCAAAGTTTTCATTGGGTCGTATCCTATATCGAACATTATAATATTGTAACAGTAACTCAGAAAGAGTATAAAAAGCTGATATTTGTGACATGGCCGGTTACAACATGACCAAAACGTGTCCGCTGACTGCTGAGTGTACTGCTGTGCCATTTAATTAGGTCCCTGTCCGTTCTAAAATAAATTTGTAATTTTAGTTCCATGTGAATAACATTGATCATTAAATGCTTCATATAATATTCAAATTTATGCAATAAATCACATAAAATTTGAATTTTTGTGAATACAAAATTGATTCAGATACATGTTCTAAAATTATGTTGTTGTTATGTTTTGACAACATAAAGAAAAAGAATACAGCGAAGGTTTTGACTTCAATTTTAATTTGCAACTGTCAGCAACATCGACGATTTTAAATACTGCAAAGTTTTTCTACTTATTAAAGCTATTTAAAATTTATTTTGCAGTATCATTGTTTGCATTGAACCCAATTTTGTTTTGTTTTTCTCATCATTGTTTAGTCGTCATTGATTGTTAATTTAATTAATATGAGAAAAACTCGTCGTAATAATATTTCAGTTAATATTGAACCAGTACACAAGAGCTATCAACATCTAGATCAAGTACCACAAAGAACCGGACAAAATACGGGGAAGTATGTAAAGTATTGATGTCTAAAATAAACAAATCGATTGGAACATATCCAAAAATTGAGATAAAAAGGTTCAGATATTAGCTATGTAAAATAGTTCAATAAATATTTCCTATCAACGTATAATATTCTGCCATTGTTATTGAACCTATTTTTTTCTCTTACATACCACAGTCAGAACTACGTTGTTAAAGGGTCTTAGTATGTTACAATAAAAAACAAGCAAGAAAAGAATGTTACATGGAGTAATTAGTTTACATTTTTGAAGGCTACTATACCATCTCCGGAGAAAAATGATGTCAGTTGCATGGCTCGTCCATAAAACACACAATTCAAGAAAAAATATACACACCTTATATGTGTATATACATTCGCCATCAAACGTTACATTACAGATACTTGAAAGAGATCGACTATTCTTCTAGTAAATTCATTTGTGGAATAGTGTGCGGAATTTGTATTAAAACTAGTAAAGATATATACTAGTAGAGCCAAAACATATATTTTGTAACTTACAATAATGAATTCAGGCTGACACACGTCCGCTTGAAAATATCCAAATTGTCATTAAATACAACATTTTGACATTTGATCACCCTTCCAGAGCATCTGACACCCTCAAAAAGATTGTTGGTGGTGTTCGTGTTGCTCGGTCTTTATTACTCTATGTAATGGTTTGTGGACGTTTTCGTTCTTCGTCCTTGTGTTGTCAGCTCCTCGCGACTTACGATTTTTCAATGCGCTCTTTGAATCAACTCTACTTTTTTATGATCAAGTATTAATTATAGTCATGCATTGCTTACAGCTTAATCATATGAGTTGTTACTTCGTTATTTTCATTTATGTTAATTTAAGACAACGTGGATATGTTGACTGGCTTTCGCAGACCCAGTTTCTCTCACTTTATCGTGGTTAATTGTAGATTTTGTTGTTTGATACGTATCTATATGGTGCCGGATGCGGCATATAGCATTTTCGTCTTTGATAGATTTAAAATTCGAAAAAATCAAAAATACGAAAGTGAAAATGCATCAATGAGAAATTGACTTGGCTACGCGTTTTCGCGTTCCGCCTTATGCAATATCTAATGCGAAAAGGCAACAGAAACGCGAAATGGTCTCATCCAGTCAACACTAATCTGTGAGACCAAGAAAAGACTAAAATCACACAGAATGGAGGGGGAACTATAATCAGTGAGTTTTGAGGAAGAAATGAATATTATGACAATCTTAACGGGGACCTGTACTATGGATTTCTTTTTGGAAATGAATACACCCTTGTTACGCCCTCTCTTAAACATGAATATTCCAAGTGAAAAAATAAATAACGTGTTTTGTATTCTTTAAAACTTAACTAAACATGTTTTATAACATGTATAATGTAAATTGGTTTATTTTCAGAGAGTTGTTTTCGCAGTTTGTACTATTATATCTGTTTGCGAAGTTGTATTTTCACGTTTTTCTTCTCTTTGAACCGGATTTTGCTTAGTGGATACATTTATACCAGGGGTTAATTTCTTAATTTTGACTACATTAAAAAACTAACGAAAATTTCCCACCTTATATTATTCTGTGTTTGGAATAAGTAATTTCAGAGAGCTGAGGGATGGAACCTTATGTTATGACTAAAACTTTACAACGGGTAACGCTAGTTGAGCAGGTACTGTTTTTTTCGGATTTGTGTTGTTTTTTTCTTTTATGTAAATAAGGTGATGTGGGTGGTATGATTGTCAACTGTCCATCAGAGACCCAATGACGTGAATATTTCAGTATAACCATAGGTCACCGTACGGCCTTCAACAATGTTCAAACCATTATCGTGTAGTAAGCTGTAAAAGACCCCGACATGACAAATTGGAAAACAACCACTTTTTTTCTCAATTGAACAGAATTACAAAATGTAAAACGAGAAATCGAATGACCTCATTTAGCCTATATGATAAAACAGTAAAAGAAAAACAAACATGACAGGCAGCAAACCACGACAACCACTGGATTACAGGCTTTTGATTTTTGTTTTAGTGTCTTGTTTTGGTACTCTCGGATACAAGGGACACATGTAACGACGGTTTATAAATTTAGTATGTCAAATGGTAAGACAAGAAACAATATTCAAACCGCTGTTATATTATTCCGTATCTACGGGCATCACCTTTTAGCCGATTTCAACACGAATAAAAGCCCGTTGTCACTAACGCGGATGTCGATAGCGGAACCGGAACTGGAGTTTCTTCCGGAGCACCTGGGTTCGTGTGGTTGTTTCCAAATCTTTGGTTTCCCGTGGAGAGTATTGTAGACATTTCTTGGTCTTTTCTACTTTTTGAATAACAGACTGACTAACACATCTGTGTGGATGGAATAGAATGTGTCCCCTATGCCCTTATATTTTACAGTTATGTGTTTTTGCTTGTGAGAGAGCTGTTTACATATTCCTTTATATTAATTCATTTGGTCTCTGGTAAAGAGTTGTCTCATTGGCAATTATACCACACCTTCTAATTCTTATATGTGATTATTTCTTAATATTTTCTTACGTTTTACAAGCATAACACGGAGTAACAACAGTTTCAGAAAAAGGACTAGGTCTCGATATTAACTCAGTGGAAATGACGTTATATTGAATAAGGGTTAAAATTTAGTCATTACACGGTTTCCTCGTGAAAATATCCTCTAAAAGAGTTGATTCAATGTACAAAAGGCATGTTACAGTTTGAAAATGATTAACGTTCAATAAAAGTCTATACGGATATATGAATTTATTTAAATTAATTCGATATTCAAATAAATAGATAATGTATCAATGTTTTTATACAATGATGATTAAAGCATAAGTCCAGATAACTTGAACTCTAACTTAATATATCTTTAGGAGAGAAGGACGTCATACGGAATCGATTTAATGAAGACTAGATTAATTTGATGGGAAAATCAATCGAAATTCATCAATCATACAAAGATAAGACACCGTGAAGCACACAGTAAAGCACCAAAAGTGCGGTCATCTTGAGTTCACTGTCGTATAAAAATATCAATTTTTATCTCTCACAGATAATAATATCATATTATGTTAAATTGATTGCCGTTACAAAAAACTACAATATACCTCGGTTAAATACTATCTCATGCATGCGTTAAGTTTGTTCGACTTATTATTCATTTTACCGGTCACAAATATCCATCAAAGGACCGTAAGTGTGGGTCTGGATGGGGTCCTTCATTTCTGTATTCTTTAATTTTTTAGGCCATTTTTCTCTATTCTTTATAATGTTTGCTCATTATTCTCTATTCTTTATATTTTAGCACCTCATTATTCTCTATTCTTTAAATTCTCCCTCGCCCTGCTCGTCCGAATTTAAAGTATTTCTACTCTAAATTCAATAGGCTTTAAACAAAACAAACACAGAAATAGGATTTATTTAGTTGCTCGCAGTAACATATTATCTTCTCTTGCGATACATTATTTTATTAAACTTTATAATACAGGTTTCTTTTATACAACCAACATATATAAATACATGTAATAAACATAGCAGCCACTGTATATATACTAATGTGACTAACTTCGTGACGATTCGACGTAACTGCGAGCACCTTCGATACTAATACATTTAAATGCCAAACTTTATATAGTACCATAAAACCTCACCCGTAGAAACCGCCAA